TAAAGCGAGACAATTGTAATTAGGCGGTCAAGCAGAGCACGAACTGCTACTGCCTCCAAGTGGGTCGCGAGAGGGACAGGAGCACAGGCAATACCACTCTGCACAACCACAGCTACTCCACCAGAAGAGCTGTTGCAAGAAACACGGTCCTTTCTAAAAACCTGATGTCGCTGTAGTACCTGTGTATGTGTTTCATTAAGATGAGTCTCTTGTAAACAGATGGCAACAGGCTGGAGCTCATCGAGAAAAAAGTTGACATCATCAATATTTCGAAAAAGACCGCGGCAGTTCCACTGCATTATACCTATATTTTTAACCATTTAAAACAAAATAAGTATAACATACAAATTCTACTAAAAAGCGATATTCCTTACGGTTTAAAATCTATTTTTATACGCGGTGCACTTTGTTTTTTGGGGGGGGGGGGTTATTCTGCCTCCGATTAGAGTCACCGGAGGCAGAGGGGGTGGACTCTGATCTTGAGAGGAGAGCCTCCTCATCAGATCTCGACCCACCCTCATCCATGGGCTCGTCTGCAGTTGCTGGCAGCTGGCCCTTGGAGGTCGACTGCTTTGGCACTTCCCCAGGCTTCCTCTGGGGAGCAGAGGTGTGGGGAGGTAGGCCCCGACCCCGAGAGGTCGAAGCAGCTGGTTGAGCAGGAGACGTCATCTCCTGTTCTGGGGTGGATGCTGGCAAGGCAGCATTCACCTTGCGGTTCGGAGGCGGTGCCACTGGCGCCGCTCCCGGGGGTTTCGAGGGGGACCGTGATGGGAGATGCAGGTCGTCCGGAGACGTCTGCGTTCCCATCGAAACCATTGGCCGAGCTGGTCCCCTCCGCACGGCCTCGGCATAAGTGCCTTTTGAAACAAAGGCAAAACGCTTCTTTGCCTCAGTATACGTGATGTTTTCAGTGACTTTTAATGTAACAACTTCTTTCTCGTCTTTCCACACAGGGCAAGAGCGGGAGTATGCCGGGTGGTTGCCACCACAGTTTGCGCAATGGGGCTCATTATTGCACGCATCTGCGACGTGCTCCTTGCTGGAGCACTTTGCACAGGTGTCCCTTCCCCGACAGTTCCGTGACCCATGGCCGAACCTCTGGCACTTAAAGCACCGTTGAGGGTTCGGCACATAAGGTCGGACACGGCACTGAAGGTAACCTGCTTTTACAGTCTGTGGCAGAGTGGTTGAATCGAAAGTCAAAATGATGTGTTTTGTCTTCCGTTCCACACCATCACGGCGGATAGTGATTCGTCGTGCATCTGTAACTCCTTGACTAGAGAGGCCCTCAATTATCTCTGGCTCAGGTGAGTCAAGCAAGTCATCCTCAGAAATGACGCCTTGAACACTGTTCAGTTTGCGGTGAGGACTGACGCTTACTTTGTAGTCGGAGACAAGGTTGAGTTTGAAGGTGAACATTTCGGCAGACGTCTGCCTGGTTGGGTTAAATGTTATAAATGAATAAAGGGCAAACGCCAACCAATCCCTAAAAAATCGTAGGGTCCCAACGTTTCGGTGCCGGCTCGGCACCTTCTTCAGGGGGGCTATTTAAAGGAGAAGCAGCTTCTTTCTCTTCTTCTGCAGTGAATGTAGGGCAGTATCTTTGTTTTTTTTTTACGGTGGTTAGTTTTCAAACCAGGTGCGGTACCTTCGTTTTCTTCGAAGTTGGTTATTTACAAACGAGGATCAGCATCTTCGTTTTCCTCTATAGTAGGGGCCTGTTTCTTTGGTGTTTTCTCTAAGTGTCGTAGTCCACTGACGTATGCTGAGGGCAAGGTGCCGGAGGATCGATTAATATTTCCTGGTGTGGTCTGTATGCGCCATGATTCAATAAAGAGTCGTTGCCGCCAGTTGGTTTCTACATCCAGGATTCGGGTATTTTCAAAGTCGATGCGGTGGTCATTGTCCTCGCAGTGTTCCGCAACAGCGCTACGCTCTCGATCAAATTTCCGTACGTCATTCTTATGTTGGCGGACTCTTTCCTTGAGGTTTTTTGTTTCGCCGACGTATGAAGCGGAACACTCAGCACAGGGAATCTGGTACACAATGCCTTGTGCTTTTTCTCTCGCTGGACGGTCTTTCGGACGAGGCATTAGGCGCCCAAGTGTCGAAACAGGTTTGTGAGCCACCTGAATACCTTCTTTGGCCAGCGTACGCGCCAGAGTTTCGCTAGTTCCCTTTATATAAGGTACACAGACGCGGATGTTAGGGCGGGACTGCGTGCTATTCTGTGGGTGCTCAAGACTGCGACCAAGACGACGGGCAACACGGCTGATGAAGCTGTTGGTGTAGCCATTCTTTTTGAGGTCGGCGATGACAGCCTGTTCTTCACTTTCTTTATCTTTCTTTGAGGAGCAGATGTTCCGAGCTCTGGACAACAGGGTCGCAACCACCGACGCCTTGTGACTCGAAGGGTGGTATGAGTCAAACCGAAGGTAACGTCCAGTGTGGGTAGGCTTCCTGTATACAGTGAACTCCATGTCTTCACCTACTCGCTTGACAAGCACGTCCAGAAACGGCAAGGTGCCGTTTTTTTCAAGCTCTAATGTAAACTGGATGGCCGGCTCGATGGAGTTGAGGTGAGCTAAAAAGTTGTCCACCTCTGATGTTTTTAGGATACAAAAGCAATCATCGACGTACCGTAGGAACACTTTGGGGCTAGCCGGAAATGAGTGCAGCGCCCTTTGTTCGATTGCTTCCATCGTCAGGTTTGCCGTAGTAACCGAAATTGAAGCTCCCATTGCGGTTCCGCTGGTCTGGCTGAAGAACTCTCCTTGGAAGCTGAAGTAGGTGCTGTGAAGGCAGAATTCAAGGAGGCAGCATATTTCATCCACGCTAAGGCAGGTTCTTTCGTTCAGGTCTTTCTCATTTTCGAGAGCGTTCCTGGCTGTGGCTACAGCCAGGGGCACTGGAACGCTTGTGAAGAGTGAAATTACATCGAATGACACTAGACTGTCCTCGGTGGTGACCTTGAGTTCTGAAACAAGCTCCACGAAATGACCGGCGTTTCGGTTGAGTTTGAGTTGAGTTTGAGTTTGAGAAGGGCATCACTCTGCTGCTTTGTGTTGACCTCGACAAGGAGATCATCAGAAGCCATCTCTTTTGCACTGTAATTGGCGCCAATAACACCTTCAAGAACTTTGGAGACCAGAAAGGGAGAAAGTTTGCCAAGTGGCTTGTCACCTTCCGAGTGCATTACAAGGAATTTCGGGAATTTCTGCAGTACGAAAGATTCTTTCATCATGTTCAGTGCTTCGGTGCGGCCCCTTTTGGGGGGCCGATCAAAAGGTTTAAGTTTGGAACCCATATGAAGGGGGAGGGTTTTCGGAAACTGTGGTGCACCACCCACCACCGAGCCCAACAAGGGAATAGGTAACGCTCCATAACAAGAATGGCTTGGCTGAAGACGTTACTCTATTAGTGCTGCCCAGTTTCTATAACCAAGTGTGGTTCTAGACAAGGTGTCTGTAGCCACCCAGGGTTAGCCCTTGCCGCCAAAAGAGTTGAAAAAGGAAAGAAGAGAAATGAGAAGAGTGAAAAGGAGGAGAAGACAAGGGTGAAGGAAGGGAGGGGATAGTAGAAGTGGCGACTAGACTGAATCGTCCTGGCCGGGCCTTACCAGGACTCCCGTCTATGAGAAGCGGGGGCCGAAGTGGTGTATTGCCTCGCCCGGGGGGCCCCGAACGGTCCAAACCTACCCCGGGCTCGGCTCAACCACCAGGATGCCCTTTTCCCCAGACACGGGAAAGCCACGCACAGCCATACGTGGGCGGGCGAACCCGCATGGCTCGGGGTCCGTGGAGACGCCACTCTCCAAACACCTGCTTTCACAGGTGCCCCCTGCGGGGCACCATAAAGAGAGACACATTCCTCAGGCAGGGTCTACAGGGGCAGTCTTTTGTATTTTGTATTTGCCGTATGACCGTGGCTTTACTTAAAAAAATCGCAAAAAGAAAAAAAAAATATTCCGGGATTATGATAGAATGAAAAATTCAAAATTGGTTTGTTTTCGTTTTGGAAATCTGGGTGGCCAAAAGAAAACACCATTTAAGACACTCGTACATCAAAAAGAAAACATTTCGAAAGCAGCGGAACATCGCGTGTCCCGTATGAATAATTTATTTCATTCGTATAAAGTATAAAAATAGACACAAGATACGAGTGTCTCGTACAAAAAAGGCGACAAAACTAGTTCCGCCGTTGTTTTAAAAAGAGCGCGACATTATGTACAGTGCATCGTTAAAAAGGGCTATACAAAATAATAGACTTTTTATTTTTTTTATTTCTCGAACAATCGACTAGCCCAGCTAGTCTCTGGATCGCGCTTAAAAATCCACATACATGTACAAAACTATCACTCAGTTCGTGCAACACACAACTGCACCGAATAAATAATCAATCATCCCAAGTATCATAATTGAAATCGTACAATAGTCTATTTACATGAAAGACACTTTCATGACGTCATTAGCGTAGCTGCTACAAGAAAAAAAAAAATATACGGATCTCGCCTTTTATGCAAGCTATCACAATTGGCGAGAGATTAATTTTGCCTAGAAATCACAGGACACTAAAACCGCTGAAAACATCTAATAAAAAATGGTCCACAATTGCTTGACCAGCAAGCAATATTTGAGAAGTTCCCTGTGCTTGGTCTACTCGGATATGAAAACAAGTGTGTCAGTTGGCTGGCCACACATGCCGTATAAAAAGCGGTAGAGTCTAATGATAGTTTATAAATATTTTTGTCATTTCATACGATATATAAATAAAACAACTTCTCGGAAAACAATGAAAAAAAGAAATTTAAGCAAGCAACCCACTTTTGTCTTAGGAAACAAAAGGGCAGCCATGACAATGCCGTACATTAAAATGTATCCCCCCCCCCCCCCCCAAAAAAAAAAGAAAAAAAAAACAAGAAAAAAAAAGAAAAAAAAAACCGCTTGGATTGTTTGGTTAAGAATAACCCGAGAAACACAAAACAAATCTACTATAGGGACAATCAAGGCCCGTCTAAATGATATTTTTCTGGGTAATACCGGCATCGTTAACTACATTCTAGCAGATGTGGACATATGAAGAACATTTCGAAGCGTCTGTACATTGTGACTTGGTTTCTGCAAAAATGCACTGGTCACTGTCTATTTCTTTTTTTTTTTCTTTTTACATAATCGACTTGATGTGGTCGGGATTGTAGTCGAAACCCAGGTTCGTGATCCCCGAAGGGGCGTTGTAGAGCACCATTTCGTCTGGGTCCCCGGGTCCCCATCGGTTCTCAGGCGTGAATGCTTTTCGAGGGTTCTAGAATCGGGGAAAAACAAAAGTGACTCGTTAGAAACTCTGGGGAAAAAATCCACCTATGGGGTGGAAAGCCTCAAAAATTAATGTGCACATCCCATTTATCGTTTACAAGTAGCAAGATTTTTATTTTTTAACGGGAGCCATAACGGTTTGCGTCTGACGTCATCGCATCATGGTGGTGGTTAGAGCCACTAAATCAGCTACGCGTAGAGTATCGGCACTTCGTTCCCAGATCTGTTTCTGCGCGCCGCCATCTTGGTGCTTAGAGCAGAGCAGACGCAACTGTCGATCGTCCCAATTAAAAAAAATGTGACTTCCTCAGCTTTAGACACTGCGTTGGGGAGCTCACGTGATATCGTTTTGCATGGTCGCGAACTGTTGTAACAGTTCTGGAGGACGGAAAAACGTATCCTGCGATTTCAGATAAGGCTTCAGAAAACCGGCATCCATGATTTTAAGTACCAAGATGACTGAGATGTCGTTACTCTGAAGCGTAGCTTGTTTAGTAGTGGCCATGCCTACTTGTTCTGGGTAAATAAACAAGTCGGATGGTGCCCACTGTATGCACCGGAAAGTACGCGCTCATCAGCAGTGCCACAACATGGCCGCCGGTATGAAGTCAATGCAAGCGACGTATAAAACAGCCCACAGAAAATACCGTATAGGACAGACATTGGATGCGTTTATGTCCACATATACATACATACATACATACACACATATATAATTTTGCACGAATCCTCCGAGAACTGACCTTCCAGTTGATCAACAGCATCACAAGGCCCCAGATGGGGATCTGCGCCATGGAAATAAGCGCCAGGAACCAGCCAACTCCGTCGGCCCAGGCAGGATACTTCACAACGTCGTCATACATGATTGGCTTGTGCTTGACCAGGCCGTAGACGAACAAGAACTGCGAGCAAAAATACGACCGCATACATAAGGCATGTGTACTTCGCAGAAGGTTAGAAAAGGTATACTTTCATAATAAACGACATCTCATGGTGGTCACCTCGAGACCACAGTAACGAAACTTCGTGTCCTTGCTGAGCAAATGATCTCGAGAAGCGGGCCATCCTCGCATATCTGTCTAATGATTATAAGCTCCCCGTTTTGGGGCCTATTTTTCATGGTTTTGCTGATTTTTGATATTCATTTTTGGTGTCAGACAAAGAATAGACATATCTTGGCTTATGCTTGAGAAGAAAACGAAAAAACGAAACAGAACATATTAGGATGGGATTCTCCAACTTCGGGGTAGCATGCCCGTAAGCCGAATACTAGAAAAACGTCCCGGCACCAACGAGAGAAGGAAAACGAAATAAAAGGTCTGGTTTCGAAGAACCCCGAGCCTCGGTGCTTCATTTTCGGAATATATCGTTGCATACAGGAAATACTGAACCCTGCTTACGACCTTACTTATTGTAATCTTACCGAAGTGTCTTCTAGCAAAATAACACTTCTAAAGTCAGCCTCATCCCAGCTTTGGGCCTGTTTTGCCGTGTAGCGATTTCGAAACGTCGGAAGCAGGATCCCTTGTGATTGACAAAGCAAACTTCAAAGATTTAAAGCTTTTCAATAAAAATATAAATTAAAAAAAAAAGATTGGGTGGGCAGTTTTTGGAATTATTCTGTAAATACTGATAACGCGGAATTCTATCTATGGCAACAACTTACTGGCTCAATTTGAATGGGGGTTTATTTCGGCAAGCTCGAAAGTGATGTACCTGGACAGGGTGAAACTCGGAAAGAAAATACTCACTCCAAGAATGAGAGGACAGAAGACGAGCCAGCTGACCTTCCAGTACCATCCAATCTCGTGTCCCAGCATCATTTTCAGATCGGCGCAGAACCGCCGCATTCCTAAACACAAAAATCGGAAACTTACAAGTGCAACTTTGTGTCCATTTTTATACCAAGGAAAGTAAAAATTTCCCCACGCTGTGTAAATTGCCCGTAGTTGTCCCATTTGCAAGAACAACGGGCAAACCGTTCACACCGCAGCCTGTCGCCCTCTGTGCCAACATTTACAAAGCAGGTTGTGCCCGCACGAGACAAGGTAGAGCTATAAAAGTACACGGTAGCAAACGGACGGCACGTTGCAATGGCGTGACTAAGGTTCAAACGGGTTAGTTCAGGAATGTGTGCATGCAAGACAGAGCTCGCACGTAGCTCTTCGGGACCTATCGTTATACCGTTACGACATTGCGAACTCTGAAGGCACGCAAAACTTGATTGGCAGAGAAGTTTCTTCCTCTGATATTTGTATTTTCAACTGGACAGCGGTTCCATACCGCCAAGGTACAGCCGTCTAACCACGGTTATCAAAGGTCCTATAGGCTGCACCACTGACAGTGCTTTGGAGTGTCTACTCTGCTCGGTCGTCCCGATATGACGTTAATACCCTGCTCTTCAGTGTCAGTGAGATAAGGTGCTTCTCGGTTTCATCTAAGCTGTGAAGCACTGTCGGGAGACATCATAGAGGTCAATCGTCTTATAGTTCGCGAAGTGAGACATTTACGGTACATTAAATGACTGCTTCATGTTTCATCCTGAAAGGAGATGACGATCCGCAAGAACGTACCATAGAACCACATAAGACCGACGATCTCGCAGATGGCGATGAACAGCACGGCGCCTCCTCCAGCGTAGGTGTCCATCAGATTGAGAATGTATTGGCCACCCTGGAAACAAGGACAACAATATGGTTCTTAATTTCTAGGCTAGGTGGCGCAAGCTACCGCCCGTTATAAAGGGTACAGCCGTTAGCATCCTTTCATCCATCCATGTGCAATGTTATAAAGGGGCCCCTAAAAGCTGCGCGCACATGATTCCATAAAGCCACAGTCGCAAATAATTCAGCGTACAAAAAATACAAAAAAAGCACTGTTTACTGCCAATCTACGACGACAGAAGTGTCTGCGGACGCGCCTCAAGCACGTTCAAAGCGTGCTTGCTTTATGCGGAGCGCAAGCTCGTCTGCTTCGTTTGCAGGGGTTGTGGTGACGTCAGAAGGCTGAGCTCTGATTGGCTGGGATTGAAGGATAGTGGGTAGACCTTAAAAGCAAGCTGACTTGAGGTCTATCAATCTATCCCACTATCCTTCAATCAGAGCCAATTAGAGATGGGCGTTCTGACGCCACCACAAGCCCTGCAAAAGAAGCAGACGAGCTTGCGCTCCGCGTACATTTGTGTGCTTCAAACTTGTCTGCATTTGCGCAATCAACGGGACAAGACCATCATACAAGGAGAAGACATGCCTCGAACGTTGTCTGTAGACTGTCTTATCTATGATGTATTATCGGTGTGAGCGCGGCTTTCAGACGCATGAACTAGACATTTACAAAGAACGCTTAGCGCTTGTCCCTCTGCTCGTAGATAAACAAACTAATAGAGTTGATTTTTTTAAAAATAAATATTGACGTTTATTAGTTTGCTTAACACGCTACGGAAAAAAAAAAAAAAGAAACACGAACAACGTCAGATATGTCCTGTTATTTGTGACTTCGCTTTCCCTGTTCAGTCTTACCCTGCTCAATCACAGGGTAAGAAATACTATTTGTGTGCGTGTATCAAAAAACAAAAAGAGAGAGAGAGAGAGAGAGAGAGATCCTCTAAATAACGAATGAAGGCCGTAATCGGAGTCGCGGTGTGTATTTTTTCGCGTCCCCTTAAGACAGGTGGCACGGTTAGAGATTATAGACTCGCTTCAGCAAACGGTCCCAACGACCTAATACCTACACTAGCGGTCGTTAAGGGGTACGAGGAAAACAATAGGCGTACCTGCATGACGCACGGAATTCCAAGAAGGAAGCAGAGCAGACAGATGCCGAAGGTCAGGGGCACCTTGTACTTTCTGGAGTTTGGAAACTCGTCGTAGAAGGCCGTCAAGAAGGTTTCCAGCAGAGCGAACTGGAATGAGACGAGGAAACGCGGCGTCATTTGACTGCTGAGATTAAGGTTCCTAGGACGCCTGTTCGACTGGCGTGATTGATTGGCCTTTATTGGAGCTCAATTTAAACCGTGTGCATTGCCCACAGCTCATCAGCTCTTTGCTACACTGGTGGCGTTCCTAGAAACCACCGTGAACAAGGCAGACACCTATTGACATGTGACCAGCCTGTAGACTGGGTAGCCATTGGAAAGTTCAACAGCCATAGGTTTAAACGAGGTTGCGCCTGCACCAGTTAGTTAGATGCGCACAAAAAATTTGAAGCCTACCACCCGAATCCCGGAGTTATTTCCACAGAAACCTGTAACGTAATTTGCTGCGTTTATGAGGGCACACTATTGAATGCCTATCCCAGACATAGTACACAGGTTTACGAATTCCATTTTTTTATAAACAATGGTAGCAAGAGCAGTGAACAGCACTATTAAGAGCAGCTTACTGTACTCCCAATACACTGCTTTTATGCGACGCCGGCCTTGCGTTTCATAGGCGCAGTTTCTAAACAAGTATTCCGAGCAATTTAACGCCATCTAAAAAAATAAACCCTTTAGATTTTAAACGAATAATTATCTTTAAAACTTACCTCGCTGTCGAGACCCAGCAGAAACAGCATGAAGAAGAACAGGAAGGACCAGAGTTGTGGAACCACCAGCCTGGACAAGGCTTCGGGGTAGGCAACGAACGCCAACCCCTGACCTGAGAAACGGAACGACCACATTAATTGGGATGCCTCGTAACTTCATAAATTGTAAAAAAAAAGGAAGAAAAAAAAATTAAAAAAAAATGACACGAGAAAAAAGGTTGCTATTGGGTGCATTGGTGCCAGTGTTGTACTGGTTATTTATAAAGGTAATCGATTATAATTACAATTACTTTTAGTTAAAAAGTATTTTATTATATTACTTGAGAAAAGAAATGGACAATTAATTGAAAAAGTATCCGTTACTTTGTCAGTTACTCCAGATTGTCATAGCGGCAAATTTCTTTGCTTGTTTGAAAAGGGGCCTTTTCTATTGCTCCTATTGAATTAGTATCACCGGATTACAAACTACTGATTTCGTCAAGTCACCACTTTTGGTAGACCGTCCCCCTCTCGGAGGCTCGGTTCAAGGATTCATTGGAAGGAAACTTATGAAAACAAAGGAATCAATTAGGAAGGCGAGCGGAAAAGCTTCTTTGTACGAACTTGGAGAAGAAAGATTATTAAAGTGCAAAAAAAAAAAAGAAAAAAAACGCAGGAAAACTGGTGAACTAACCCTATAAAAAAGAAACAACCAAAAGATGACTCACAATGGGCAAAAATCAAGATTTCTGGAGCTCACTCTAGGTCACAACACCTAAATGGAGCAGACAAGATATGACTTCGTTGATGGAAGGAACGTTCGCACTCGTTTGTGCCATGCTCTTGCAACTTAATGCCCCCCCCCCCCCCCCCCCGAAAAAAAAAAAGAAAAAAATTATGTTTAATTTGGAAAATAGTGTCTTCTGACGAAATGCCGATCGCCTCTCTTCTAAGAAGATTAGGTTGCCTGTCATATCGTCTTAAACATTGTCTGATTTTGGTCATCTAGTGGGTAACTAGCTAAAGGAGATTTGAGCTGACCCTTTCTCCAGTCCTTTTAGTCCCACTTAGCAACTTTAGCTTCCATAATATTAAGGATATTAGATTTACATACCTGCTTTGGCAACATCCTTAATGTCGATTCCAAGTTCCGTGGACATGTTGCCTAGGACTGAGAAGATGACGATTCCCCCAATGATGCTTGTCAAGAAGTCCATGGTACTGATGAACAGTGCATCCCTGCAAGAGCGTGAACACGACCAGATTGTAATCATCTCGCTCGCTTGGTCATCAGCGAACTCAATTGGGCCGATAAAGTGACTTCGAGCGAAGCTGAAAAGAATTGTGACAACTAACCTGTGAACAGGGTTCTTGAACTTGTTGTAGCTTCCGAACATAATGATGCCTCCCCAAGATATGCCCAAAGAGTAAAACAGTTGTTCCGCAGCTTTGCGCCAAATCTGCAAGAATGCAGACCGCCGCTTGATATCTCCATCGAAGGTATCAGACTCGCTTGAACGAAGCGACGGCTCGCCGAAATTCCCAACTTACATCAATCTCCAGAAGCCTGCTCCACTCGGGAATGAGAAAATACTTGATGCCTTCTACTGCTCCAGGCAAAGTGGCTCCTTTGATGAGTAGAATGAAGAGAACGAGGTAGGGAAATGTCGCTGTGAAGTAGACCACCTGCAATGGGGGTGAGAAAGATAAATATACAAATCTTCCAGAATGTTTATCTAGTGTTTTGGTCGTGTTACAAAATGAAACACCCCAACACCAGTGTCACAACACTTTTATAATATCTTCTCTGTACACACAGCCGAGATTTTTCCAAAGTGAACAAAACCGCGATCAGACTGCTTAAATACATCATAATAAAACAGGCTACAAACGCTGTTTGAGGTGTTTTTGTTTTCTTGTATAAAGGCGCTCACATTGGTCAAACGAAAACATGTCTGGACGCATGTACGAAGCAAACTTGCTTCGAACATGCTATCCGCACACACTTCGTCATCATGCTTGCATCGAACACCGAGTCGTCTGTATGGTGAACGAGCAGTGTAGCTGCGGCTTCGGCAGTTCGAAACAACTGCCTCAAAATTGCGGAACGATTGCGAATCTTATTTTAAGTTTGGTTTGCCTTTTGTGAAGGTTTGTGACACCAAACGCTAAACATTGATAGTCGACAGCCCCATACCTTTCCGGTAGACTTGACTCCTTTCATGAGACAAAGGAAGACTACCACCCAACTGGCAAGGAGGCAGAGACTGAGATCCCAACGAACAACTCCGAGCTCCTCGATGCCGCCGGTTATATTGAGAACGTAGCGTCTGAAAAAATAAAATATAATAAAGCACAGGACAACTAACGTTAACATATATACCAGGAGATATCTTTCTTTCTTTAACACAAACTTGCAGCCCCCTCGCAATCCCTTGATGCCATTTCCAGTCTGTGCGAGGTAACGAACCCAGAAGATGCTCCGCCTCCAACACACGCTGGTTGCCTTCCCGCCGTGCTTTGGATGCGCGTGGTACGAAAAGTTATGAAGGACACAAAGCTCGCAGTCGAGGTGGAGAATCTTGGGGATTCTTAACCTGTCAGGTACCGACTAAAGCGACCAATCGACCCTTTTCAAGACCCCCTCGAGCAAACTTGGTGGTCGCCATTTCTTGATCGCTCAAAGTGTGCGATTGGATCCGACTACTCGCCGAACACTGACGCAGTTCTCGTGTCCAATACACGCTCAGGGTACGCGCCCAAACAAATGGCGGACAAGGAAGTCCGGATTCTCGCGGAACTTTTCTAATTGTCCACCTTCATGTGTCGGATTAAGATATACGTGGGTGCATCTTAGATTAGCTTTGCATTATTTTATCGAGGCGTACACAATTCAAACGCAAAAAAAAAACAATTCTTTCGACATCCCCCCCCCCCCATACTCCCATACCTTGTAAAATTACGTCGCGCAGCGCGTGCATAATGCGGAAAACGTCATCTTTTTTTAGTGGGGCAACGAGGGTTTAACGTACATATTGAACTGCTTCAGAATGCACGAATGAGAACTTACTCCCAGAACTGCTGACTTGCTGTTTGCGTGGCGTTTGTGCAGTTGCTATAGCGAGCTGTGTAGACGTCCTCGGGAACGAAGACTGTCATGTTGTCGGTGCCTAGAAGTGCAATACCGCTCGTGATGTTCGTGGAGTTCATGTATTCTTGGATAAGATTCTTGCCGGTCATCACGCAGCGTTCCTAAAACAAAAACAAACAAAAAATGATTTTGAACAGTTTTTTCACAAGCACGAAACGCGGACAAGTTCTACAAGATTGACCTTTTTACGAATACACTGCTTACTCTCGAAAAAATACCAAAATAAGAATGAAAAAAAAAAAAAAAACTTTAGGTACGATATATATATATGATAACGATAATTTTAATTGACATAAGTTTTGGCGCAGCCAAAAATCAATCCTTGCGCTCCAGCGGCTTTTTCTTTTTTTTTTTTTTGCGTGCTTTAAGGGCGCAGCTTCCGCACCGTAAACCAATTTGGTCACGAATGTGCATGCTCCGGGGCATTTCTTTGACAAGTGAAAAGCATATTACAGTACTTTTAAAAGCTATATATTAATATATTTTAATATTTGTTTTTCTTATCAAACGAGGTGTCGATCGTGCTCAGCTTTGGAGTTTACGTTGTATGCCGTTTTTGTTTTTAAGAATAAAACAAAATGATTCAATCCAAGTGTGATCTTCGTTCCATGCTCTCCAACATTGCAGGGGCCAGTTTATAACCCTGGGCTGTGTAGTGCTCACGTTGATTCTTAAAATTCGGTAAATTAGGAACCATAAAAATTAAGCCTATCAGTAACAGCATATAAATATGTATTTTAGTCATTTTTATGCTTAAATAGTATATATGAACATCAACGCACTTTATTCTAATACACAATATGTCGTGACGTCATCTCACATTTCGCATCACAAAAAAGACGCAGTATTTTTTTTTTTAATATATGTTCTCAAGACCGACATGTCGCCTCACTGAATTGCTTTATTGGCCGGCGTAGACGAGTGCCTAGTGAAATATTAATTCCGTCAAAAACCTCGGATGCACACACTTACCACATTTTTGCTCCGGACATAGCACGTCTCCAGGTCTGCGCCCCACCACTCGTGACAGTTCACCCAGGGCAGCTCGGAACGGAAGCTTTGTGCCATGTAGAAGACCGTGTAGGCCAAGATGACGTTGTAATAGACGGCGACGATTAGGGACACCACCACCATTGCAACGCCGACACCTAGAGGCGAAAACAAAATTGTCCGGTTATTTCCATTGACCGATACTTGTTCTTCTGTGTGAGCCTTCTTAAAGCATAGATAACAGAAGTCGAGAACGGTTCTCTCGGACTATACTGCAGAAGTTCAGCGCAGTTTTGTGTACAGCGCGAGCATTAAGGCGTTTGGCCGTATAAATATATATTTCTTTAAAGATTAATCGTTCAAAACAATTGGCAAAAAATTGGTAGTTGGCTTTGGCATCATTCTTACTTGCCGATTTCCCAATAACTATTTTGAATTTCGCGATACTACCATAGCATATCGGAGAGGGTAAAGGCCGGCGATTCCGAAATACAGTTAGTTGGGGTAACTCAAAAATTCACAAGGACCTTGGTTGCGTTCACTGGTTAATTTTTTTCACCTAAAGCGAAGACACAAGACGCCCATTGGGACCAACTAACGAACACCCCACTACATAGACGTACACACAACACGGCTACTTTACTTATATGCACGGCGATATTAGAAATCGCAGGGTCAAACTTCGAAAACGACAGAGTCCAAAGGATCTGTAAATGCTAACTCACCCTTGGCGATGGGCAGGCACCTCCAGACCGAGAGTGGTCCCAGACTCGTGAACTGACCTAGGGCAACTTCCATGAAGTACATGGGCTTCCCTACCAGCAGCATGAGGATGACGTAGGGCAGTAAAAAGGCTCCTAGATGAGAGATGTACACCAGAACCAATTTTTTTAGACTCCCGGAATATAGTGGGTGTGTATATGTCATACTGGCTACTTAATAAATGCGGAGCGTGTCGAGGCCCGTGCATCTATCAATGATATTGCTTCATTAACCAGTAGCACTTCGTTTCTTAAAATAGTAGTGGCTATAACTGATTGGGTTAGATATTCTACATTTCTTGAGTTACGGGGACCCAGAAGTTGTGTAGGATGCAGAACCTTAGTTTTTTTTTTCTCCTATAGCAAAAGGCGAAACGACTGAAGTTTGTTCAAAGAACCAAGACGGAAGCAATGCGTCCTTTTTCACGTAAAAGATATATAAAGAAAGTCCAATTGCTTCTTTTTTTTCAACAGAAAGTAACTGTTGTTGTTTTTTTATTCCTAACAAGTCCCGCTATGTGTTATGCCGATAATCCCTTTGGTTCAACTAAGGAGCTGAATAAGATAGTGAATCCATATTATATAAGACATCAAATTTAGAACAATCCTCTAGTGAACGTCGTATACAAATATGTTCCTCGAATACCAATTTATGTAGCAGTAAGAAAGGTACTGATCATTCCTAAAAAAATTTAAATTAAAGAATTAGATCCCTTTACCTACTAGCTGGAAGTATATACATATATATTTTTTGTAGATGTTTTAGATTTGTAGGATAATGCTGACTGCCGCTGTCTAACAAAGTTTCACATAATCTGCGAGTGCAAAAGCTCACGCACCTCCGCCATTTTGGTAGGCCAGGAACGGAAACCTCCAAATGTTGCCGATGCCCACGGAGAGACCTATACAGGATAGAATGAACTCCGTCTTGTTGGCCCACTGACCCCTCTCTGGATGCTCTTCTTTGGCGACAGGACTCGCAGCCTCTGCTGCGTGAATGCCATTCTAGAACGAAAAGAAATGACAAAAAAACATCAGTCAATATAAACATAATGTGTTAGCACAGCGTGCGATCACCGCAGCCCAGCGAGCACAGGTTCGACACTTTGTTTCAGCTTAAGTCCAGACACAGCCGATGCTACAAGCGCGAGCATGTGGTCCTGAACAATGCTTGCTCTGCACGAGCCCGAGCGCTTGACAGGGACGCTGAAAGCCCGGAGCTCGTTCAAGTGAAACGGAGTAGTCATAAGCAAGAATGCTGATAAAAGCACCGGCCAGAAGGCCTTTCTTTTATCGATAGCACAGTAAACAATCCAATCAAAAATAAATATTCAGGTTCCTCGTGTGCATTATTCTCGAGTGATGCAGAATGAGATATACTTGAGTACAACTTTCCGAGTAAATAATGTCAATGGTGTGGGCTCTCGCGCTCATTGAGCGCCAATCAAGAATATATGCACGTCCACACTTTATACTTCTGAAAGGCTTCAGAAAGTCGTTCTTTGCTCTAGATTGTGATGGTTTACTACGCTGCGTAGGTGCAAGAAAAAACAACATACTAGCCTATATCCAAGCATTATCTGATCTAGACTTAACGATCGCATGGTGCGATTTCACTTGCGATTTCGCAATTGCTACGTCACTCGTACGAAAAAAAAAAAAAAAACTGGGGGAAGTTCCTGTGTTCGACGTAGCATGCACCTGCAAATTTTCAAGCAAAATCGCGTTATTGGAATCTGTCATTAAAAACAAGACCACATGTGCAGGAAAAAAATAGGCGAAAATTGCATGATTTTTGTAACATAAAAAAATAGTTCCACACCATTTTTTTTACAAAAAAGCCGCGGGCATAGTTTTTTTTTTTTTTTTGTCACACAAAAATTTTATTAGGCTTTTCAAAAAACGAAAAGTTCGATTTTCGTGCAGTAAATTCCCCGGTTTCTTGAAGGAAGCTGGAAGGAATTTCGCCCATGCCCTGAACTCCGTTTTATTTAGGGTTGATAATTGCACACGTGTTCCAGCAATATTCTTTTTTTTGGGGGGAGGGGGGTAGGGATTTCGGTTTTACTAACAAGGTACGCGCGAGTGGGCTCCACGGAGAAGAAGTAGCTCGTGTCCCCCTGTCGGGCACGAGGGCAGCATTCGGGGCTAAAGAGGAAAAAGCAGCGGGACCAGCGGACCAGCAACCCGGTCGCCCAAACAAGACGCCGCCGGCAATGAGGCTCCGTCAACCGCTCTGGGTCCTGGTCTTGACCACCGGGATCGTCATAGGGGCCGTCTTCTTCTGGGGGGCACGCCAGACACAGCCAGCCCAATCCAGAGCATGGTGCGTTCAAAGATCGTGCACCGTCCTTGTTCCATTCGCCTTTCTCCCTAACGCCAATACGTGACTTGCGCGTGACGCCATCCCACTGTTCCACTTAGTCACTCACACCAATTCTTGCCGAGAAACAAAAACGTATTCAGCGGCTCGAAATATGCGTGCTGCAGAAGGTCCGAATAAGAACCCGCATATTTGGCACCGCATAAAGGAATCGAGAGGATTCACTCGCGGCCTTATAGCTGAGTTTGCGGCTGTTGAGCGTGTGTTGAGGGCAGGCTTTCCACAGTTCTTCTGCAACATTCTTTTTGCGTTTTGTTTTCTCACAGCATCAGGATTGCCGGTCTTTTTGGCCTATAACTATAAGCTCGTTTTCCCCCAAATATTGTAGTTTTGTTTTTGTTTGTTTTTTTCACCGCAAAAATAAATTGCGCTTTGCCGAACGCTCAGTTTTCCGCAAAAATCTAAAGCTATCGGTTCGAGTGAGATGCCACAAAGTTTCATCGCTAACCGCTGTCTTATTCAAAAGTTATCAGGGATTTTCAAAATATTTAAATGGAAAAGATGGGGCCCATTTTTGAACGTTTTTTTGGTAGCGGCGCCATAAAGCTCCGTACAGTCCAGAGCTCTGTCAGACGCCATTTTACCATTGAAGATTTCGGAAAATCGCTTGTAACCTTTAAACTAAGCAACGGTTTCGTTGCTTAGTTGCTTAGCTTTCGGCGATGCGCTTGCGGCGATGCGCTTTCGGCGATGCGCATTTCCTTTTGCAGTGAAAAATATAAAGAAATAAAACACCACTATTTTGGGGACACCTTGTCTCTCACTAGGCCTGTCTCAGAGACAGTCGAGGAACTTGCGATGAATCTTGACTTGCAAAGAAAGCTGGGGGAGAACCGCCAGTTTTCCTTTGTGGACACACTGTTCTTGTGGTGAAGGTAGTACGCAGAAGCGATGCCCTTCAATAGGGGCATTTACTGAACGCCGGTGCGCTGTTCACGGAGCGAGGTCACATATATAGGCTGCTGAGGCCGGCGATCTTCATGGTGTGGAATGCACGTTGCAAGAGAATAACCGTGGAAGCTTACCGTCAGCACGCGTTCCGATGCCGCGGCATCAACTATGGCCGCCAGTAAATACTTCCTACAGCTGCTGATCGGACAGCAGCACAAGCCATGCCTCTGTCTACACCGTGTTGGTCGTTCAGCTTGCAAGAGCGACGGCATCCTTCATATCAGTGGCCGTGCTTCATGCCTTCCATTCTGGGTTGAACTTTATGTCATTTATAGCGGCAGGTGTTGGGAATAGGAGAGTTTTAGCAAGTTGTTTTCGAGGGCCCAGCATCCCCAGAGGCGCGCGTCAAAGCATGCTGCGAAGAGGCACTGCGAGCTCGCCATACGGATACCGTTATACAAAAGAGAAAAAGAAATCTGATGAAACTTCCTCGCTATAATATCGACATCTGGTAAAAATGGTTCTTACGCTTGAAAAATCCTGACACTTTTCAATCTTACGCCATGAAAAAACGTTTCTATTCAATATTTCAGAAATGTTCTATCAAATATCATGCTGTTAGAACATAGCGTCATTCAACTAGACCCCATGGGAAACTTATTTATTTATTTTTAGCTTATATTTGTTGAGGGTCTCGATCAGATACGTGTTGCCAAAGGCTAAAAAGCCTGACGAGGCCTTTGCCCTCCACAATATTCTTGGCAAATCAACGGCCCCGGAAGGAAGACAGCAAACTTGATTGTTGGCTGTCTTCTTGAGAATCAAGCATCTTCAGATAGGTTCTTTGTTATGCTCAGTGACATCCAAACAGGTCCTGCAAAACCGAAAGAAGCTGGCAGGAGTGAATGGTCATAGAAGTAGTGAATGGTCATAGAAGTAGTGAATGGTCACAGATGTAGTGAATGGTCACAGAAGTAGTGAATGGTCACAGAAGTAGTGAATGGTCACAGAAGTAGTGAATGGTCACAGAAGTAGTGAATGGTCACAGAAGTAGTGAATGGTCACAGAAGTAGTGAATGGTCACAGAAGTAGTGAATGGTCACAGAAGTAGTGAATGGTCACAGAAGTAGTGAATGGTCATAGAAGTAGTGAATGGTCACAGAAGTAGTGAATGGTCATAGAAGTAGTGAATGGTCTTGGCGTCAAGCAAGGGCATCGACTTGTGGGTCTCTTGCAGGAATCGGACTTCGTTTGACCGATCCAGGTTTCTACAGGAGCGGAGAATCACCAAGACCCGTGTTTCAATGTCACCCATCGGTGGCACTGGTTCTGCGAGCGCTGATGCTAATGTTGCTGTTGCCATTGGTGGCGGGGTTGTACCCACGGTGTTGCCCCTGCTAGACAGGCCATCACTTAGAAGCGACGTGAGAGTGTGTAGCCAGCCAGTGTGTGAACGCCAGGACGCCTATCTGCGAGAACACCTGGAGAAATACCAGGAACCCTGCGAGGATTTCTACGCCTACGTCTGTTCGCGTTCTTGGGCCGCCAAGGACGCAAAGGTATGCATGTGAGACAGCGTTTATTTGTTGTGCCTTCGAATTGAGTATCAACGAAGAAAGAGATCTGGCATGAATATTTTACTTTTTTTTCTCCTTACTGTCAAAACTGAGATGTCTAGCTTTCATCACACCGCGCGGGAGAGTTGCAAGTTAGTGGAAGAGAATCAAGTATACACCCCAACAATTTTAGTATGTATGCATAGTGCTAACTCATTTGAATCTTTAAAAAACGCTAAAGTAAAAAACAAAAATCCGAGAAAAAAAATTAAACAACTGTGAGGCTCAGGCAGTCGCAGCGTCACCATGTTTTTATCTATAAATGTCAGTTATGAATTTTGCATTGATATGCTGATGAACATGTGTTTGTCCTGTATTTTTTCTTGGACGACTGTAGGTCGACAACGCCCCATACCTCATACAGACTTCGGCGAAACTAATGCACGCTCTTCCGAAGACGCTCCACAACTACTTCAAGATGAAGCCTCAGACCTATTACGACTTTCCCGGGACTTTCATCAGCCAGGCCCTTTTCTTCATCCCCAACTGCACGTCAATCTACAGTCGGAACGGCCTCGGGTGGGACCCCTGGCAGGAAATGCTCCCCAAGCTGGGCCTTGAAGGATGGCCGTTCACCAGAGTTCCCTCGAACAAAAACATCTCAGCCATCGCGGGTCTTGTAGACCGCACCCTGGGCGTCTTCCCCTTCACCGAGATCAGGGTCACAAAAGAGTATGTAAAGGGTCACGTCGTTCAACTGGACGCTCCCAGGACAATCTTGCGGCGTCACCAGCTATGGCACACTGGAGAAAACGTTTTCAACTACACGCAGATGGTAGCGAGAGCGTTGAGTGTCCTTCGCGTCCTCCAGCAGGTTGACATAATTGCCGAGAACATCGTTATTCTGGAGATGAGACTTGAAGAGGCGATCGAGTCAAAAAAATTTAGTCCGCCCTCCTTCAGGACGAAGGCAGTTGCCTCCCTGTCTAGGAGTAGAAAGTGGAGTTGGTTAGACTACACCAACTCCATCTTCGACTACGCGTCTAACAGCGTCGAGAACGTGGAAGATCTTGCCACGGGCTACTTCAAGGAGCTTGCCGAGATCATGGATAATACATCGTACACAACGCTGACCAACTACATTGGCTATCGGGTTATGGTGCATCTGGCTCCTCTGCTACCAGACGAAGTCAATTTCCTAGTTCCCCTGAGTTTGGAGAAACCTATAGTAGGAGTCGGTGAGCGATTTCAAGCATGCGTGCATCTCCTTGAGAAGCTTTTTCCTTTTGGAATGACAGCGTTCCTTAGAATGTCCCTCGGAGACACCCATCCGCTCAAGTACTCAACGTTGTTAGACTCTCAAATTGAGACGATGTTCAACCACACCCAACGCCTCATGTCAAACCTCGCGAAGAACGCTTACTGGCTCAACCCCATCGAGAAAGTTATTGCGAAAGAAAAAATAGAACGGATGGACTTCGCCTTCATGGGCACCGTGAAGGATCTCAGCATTCCGGCCGTCTATTACAATGCACAGTCTGTGCCTTTCGACGGATCCAAGCTCCTGCAAAGCTTCTTCGACATTCAGGCCAGCACCAAGAGAGCATACTTTGATCCCTGGCATCGATCATTGGACCTTGATAACCAGCATCACGTGAGCAGCCTCCAACCGGACGTCGAGTATGTCCGCGGCCGAAACCACCTCTTTCTACCGTACGCAGTGTTGGCGTTCCTCAAAGGGTGGACCAGCAAGATCGAGCCCCTCTTCATCCCGATGGTCGCCAAGTTCCTCTTGAAGGGTCTTTTTATGGCGGTGGACGAGAGAGGCTCCTTTATTGACCACCAAAGCAGGCTCCAGGACTGGTGGAGCAAGGCGACACTCAAAAAGTATGGCCGCATCAAGTACTGCTTTCGAAAACAGTACACGGACGAGGTTCAGCTCAAGTTCACAAACGCGGATCCCATGTTGGACCTGGAAGACAACATTGTTGAGAACGCAATAGTAGCACCGCTGTACGACTACTATCTCGACGTTCTTGGCGTGGACACTGCTACCGCCCAAAAGGCCAGGGCACCCATCGGAGGCTTCACAGTGGAACAGCTCTTCTTTGTCTACTACGCGCTTAGTCACTGCGAGCAGGACAGCGCTCCTTACGTGAAGAGGCTCGTTGAGTTTAGAGAGACGCCGCCTGACGTTAAGCTTAATATTCCTCTGCGAAACTTCGCCAAGTTCTCGGAAGCCTTCGGCTGTCAGTCTGGGAATGAAATGAGCCCTCAGGATCGCTGTCTGGTCTGGTGAGATTGGTACTCTTTTCCCGGTAAATAAAATGTCGGGAGGTATGAACGGGTGTCTTGCAAGCTTGCCGCTAATGTCAGATACGTTATGCCATTTCGCGAGTATGATGCATAATAAAATTATTATAAAATTGTAGGTTGGTTGCATGTCGATCCCCACGGCCTGTTTTAGAGCAAAACTATTATTTTCACGAAGGGGTAGCTTTATTTAAGGTTCCTGCTGCACGAACAAAACACGTACCAGCGCTCAAACGCAAAAAAAAAAAGTGAAAATACATTTGCTTGTCTACACTGTTTACAGCAAGTACTGCACTACAGCTCGGCAGTGCGCTTATGTTCGCAGAACACGAGCGAGACGATCACTGTTTAAAGCCACAGATGAAAATTAGATTAAATCTACCCTCTGGCAGGGGGATAAGCCTGGCTTATTTAGTGAATCTATACTCATCATAACACAAAAAAGTGAAGGTTGTGCGCATCACTCACGCGCTGCGCGAGTAGTTTTTAGAATATTTGATTGTCCAAGGAAGAATCGAAGTTTTTTTGGCGTTTGGAACATGTCCGTCTCGATAAAATAACATATTTCTAAGATGCACCTATATTTTAATTCAACACATGGAGGGGGAAATTAGTAACGTTCTGCGTGGAGCCGGAATCGTTTTATTATGGTTCTTGGGGCGAACACGGGTATAAGTTCTGGCTCTAGCAACAGCAGCAGCAGCAGCAGCAGCATTAAACACAAGAATGTTGGGTTTCATAACTTTCCGAAATTCGCCGAGCAGGCAGTAAGGGACGGTAAATAGGTCTTGTGTGTGCTCAGAAACAAACACGGATTCCGATTGCCTTGTTGTTGAGAATAGATTAGAATAAAACCGACAGAACCGCGAAGTGAACCCTGGGTCGGAGGTGCAGCGCGATCCTGCTTGTCTCCGATCGTGTTTGCGTCCCGAAACGCCTGCTATCTCGTGTTCGGCACTCGTTCGTTAAACACTCGACCTGTGTTTACCGGTAGCGTTATTTTATTTTTGTCAAACTCAAGCCTTTGCTCGCTCACCAATTTGTCAGGCCTTTGCTCGCTCACCAAGTACACGCCTCGAACGTAGAGCCCCAAGGACAAGGCTTTCGAGCGGATACCACCAAATGTTTTAAAACCTACCTCGAAGGTAGAAGCAACGAACAGACACATTGCATAAACTATAGCATCGGCGAAGCTCATTTCCAATGTGTAAACTAGCGCCTCGTTTGCAAAAATACCCAAAAAATGTTTTTGCCAAAGCAGAAAGCCAAGTTATGAACAATAATGAGAAAAAAATTTGTGCATTGCGCAATGCACCATAACGCAGAAACAAACGTGGTCTGAATGTCGACAAGGGAAATGTTGCTCAGCATGTTTGTCAGCAAACCATCCAAGTATTTACATGGTTGAAAACCCTGAGAAAAAGATAAATAAAAAAACCGGACGAGACAACTCCTGTTGTCTTGTCCGTTTTTTTATTTTTTTATTTAGCCTTTCCTCTGGGTTTTAACTTTGTCGTTTAACCAGCTAGCCTGCACTGTTTCCCCTCTGACAACTACGTTGCAAAAACTAACACTAAACCCTAGCCTTATCTTTAACAAACAGTGCGGCGGGTTTACAAATGTCGGGCACAAGAGATTGCGCATACATTGATGTTACTGCCCAAAACGTGTCTATATCAACAAAAAAAAAAAATCAAACTTGCCACTATACGTGTGTGCCCCTGAACAACATCACGGCTCAAAAAGGGCTTAAAGACCGACGACCAGTTCGCGCTTTCCACTTTTCCCTCGCTTCCTCCTCTCCCCCCTTCTACCCTGTCCACCGTTGCCTTTTTCCTCCTCCCCCATGGTGAGGAGGATCTTCTGCCTTGCAGAATCTCGGGTCCGGTCGTCGGCCTTTAATTAAATCGCGATTTGTTTCTCGGGAGGGATTCATTGAACCCGTGGTGCTAGTCTACAACATTCCCTCCTAAGCACTGCAAGTGAACTTTGGGGCCAAAGCATGAGACATACCGGTGCCCCTCGAAATGGGGCGCGTGTTCAAATACCAAGGACCGAAAGAAAAAGCCAGACAGCGTACTCCCGCTTCCTTAGAGTGGGGGAAAAAAAAGCTGAACTCTTTTGCTTGTTTTGGTAGTGTCATGCGTCAACGAAGGAACAAGGTGACGGCAGCAGCTAGGCTTTGGACCTGCGAGTACGCAGCCTCCGCGGTTCTACCGCGTCCGTCGCGTTGAGTCCTTCAACAAAAGTTATGGCGGCACCCAAGGTTGCTTCCTCAAGTTCGCTTATGCACCGAACGGTTGGTGAGATCGGTCTATTGGTGTATATGGGTCAGGTGCCGTCAATTTTCCCGCGATGAATAGGTCACGTGACATACCTTTCCTCGCCAAATTTAGAGCAAGATGCACAGACGGACGAAAGGACGGCAGGACGGACACAATCTTGGGATTGGGGGGCAGAGTTAAAATTCATTTCAAGCTTTAATAAAAGGGGGACTTACCATGACGGCACCGTCTCCATTAGAGATGATTTCCGCTTTCTTCTCATCAGCTTGGAAGGCCGGATTGACGAAAGCAGGAGCCTCCAGGTGCATCTGCAAGAATGAGAAAAAAATATCACCGGATGATAATAAGAATAACGCTTCAATGAAACCTAAACAGCTCTCTAGCCTTTTTTTTTTTTTCACGGTGTTTGGGTGTTTATAGCTTTCGTTAGGTAAAGCGAAACAGAATATAGACCAACACGTTCTGCTACGGCGGTAAGAGGCAAGAGGAGCTTTCCCTGTCACCGACATAGATTAGCTCAGTCAGGCTCAGTTGCGGAACTCCCGGGGCCATTTCTTCTCACTCCCTTCGGTTCGCCCTCCCGTCGTTTGAAGCACCATCTAGATTTTAGTTTCAAAACTGTATTTCATAGAGTACAGAGCCATATATCAGTGTCAGCTCGCCAATTACGTCACTGACACGCAACGCGAATACCATGGCCAAGCCCATTTCCATCTTCGAGCCCAACCGACGCCGGGGAATTTTGCCCGTTATGCTTGGCTCTCGGTTTTCTCCAACGTACGACTGTTTAATTGTGTTTCAAGACATCCGGTAGCAGTATTTGGACTGTGTCGTGTTTATTCAGGAACCATATATTAAGTTAGTTCCCGGTTACCTTGTTTATTCTCCCTACATACGCGGCCGGCAACATGATTACCACAATGGCAGCCTGAGGACGTCAGTGCGAGCCAGGCGTAGGTGTGCTTAGATAACCCACTGCTTTCTATATTTCGTTACAGCTCAAGTCGAGACGCAGCCGTTGCTACGAGCGCGAGCATGTGGCCCTGAACAGTGCTTGCACTGGGCGCCATATTTGTGGGTGATGTCTAGAGCGCATGCTCTGAACGAGCCCACATGAATAGGCTGCTAAGACCGGCAATCTTGAGGGTGCGAAATGCACGTTACAAAAGAACTGTGGAAGCTCGCCATCAGCACGCGCTCAGCAGTCGTGTACACAGCTATGGCCGCCAGTGAATACTTCCTACACTCTGTTTCATACCTAGCGTGCAACGCTGTCAAAGCTACTGGCGCGAGCGCGTGGCTTCATCTATGGTTTCGTTTGCGCGAGAACGCGTGCAAATGATCAGCGAGATCAAGCCCCACGCTCGCGCCAGTAGCTTTCACAGCGTTGCACGCTAAGTATGAAACAGAGTATAGTGCGCGTGATTGTCAGACGCTGAAAGCCCGGAGCTCGTGCTTGCAGCATCGGCTGCGTCTGGACTTAAGCGAAAACGGAGTATAAACTACTCGCGATGGGCGGCGCGAGGTGCCATAAATTCACTCGCATTGAGCAAACTGGCATGCGTCCCAGAAAAGTGTCCTCGCTGACGGTGTAACACCTTGCAAAGTCGTCGTTTCACCAACCTTAGTCCTCAGGAAATACAAGACATGTATAGTGGCTGGGTGTATATGCGGAGGGGAACTGGGGGGAGGGAAGGGGGCGGGGAGGCTCTGATAAATATAAAGTCACATAAAAAAATGCAGAGGATGATAACTTTTTTGCTGACGGGAATGACCGTGAATGGGTACACGGTCGTATATAAATCAAGCCGACATTCTAGGCACTCTGGTGTCGTCTTTAGCGTCACCTAAGCAACTTTGACACCCACACACTTACGTCACATTAGAAGGCATGTACACGTTTCAGGGGAAAGAAAAAGAAGAAAAAGTAATCAACCACACTTGGGCCTTGAAATTTAATGCAGTGCATTTTGCGGTCTCTTAGCAGTACCCCCCGTATAAAGCGCACCCGCTATAAATGACCGTTTTCATCGAAACCATTGGTATCTCATTCGAACCCTCAGTCGCACTTCTTTGTATGATCGCAGTGTCGCAAAACCAATGCTGTCACTCTTCGACCATTCTTCGGACCACCGAAGGCAGGGGTTTCACCAGGAATCGAGGGGGGATTGAGAATAGAGAAGTGTTGCGAATTAAGGGGGTGCCTTCAGAAAAAAAGAGGGGGGGGGGGGGGGGGGGGTGTAGGGAAATCACTGATCGGAAGAACAGGCCATTGGCGGCGGCTCTGCCCTACCGAAAAACCCAGTAGAACTTTTCGCTATCTGGATTATGGAACCGGAAATCGATCTGGATTCTATCTGGATTTTAGGTTTTCAGAAATTATTCCTTTGTCGGAAATCTGGATTTCGGGTTTGCAGAAACAAATTTCTGCTTCCATAATCCAGATAGTGAAAAGTTATACTGGGTTTTTTTGTAGGGAGTCGACGCTACGACCCATTAGAGCCAGTCTAGCAACGGAAAAGTGCATATTGGGCGATACCTAGCGCCACCTAGCCTAGTTGTAAGTCATTCAATTTTCCCTAGATAATTTCCACCGGTCTTTCAATCTCTTTTTTTTTTATTAAAATTGGTTTAGGTGTTGATAATCCGATGGCCAGCCAATCAAGCAGATCCCGAAGCGCACCGTCACGACACTCGTTGCCATTGTTAGATGGCAGAGCGCGGAAGGCAAAGGTCACCTTCGGCGCTCTGCCATCTTCGTCTGCTGGGCTGTGGAACGCCTTCAGAGCACACCGCGCGGTTGCTCTGCTGTGCGGTACCATATATCAGACGCTGTGCATGCGGCCACAGTTTACTGACTCAGCATTTTTCCTCCGAGTACTAAGCGATGCAAGGGCCTCGACTGCGGGCGGACTTTAGAAAACGGAACGAGGCATATCTAGAGGTGTTGACGTAGTAGGCACACTTCCCCCGAAGGACTCGTGCTCTCGCATAGCATCACACACGTTCCGGTTTCGTTCGATGCGTCGGCAAAAAGAGAAAAAGGAAAACCAGTACGTGCGTAGGTTTTTTCCCGCGATTGTCGAGGCAACCTCGCGTGCATTTATCCGTCGATCGCAAACATTTTTATATTTTTTTATCTCGAGCTTTTTCGACATTGCACCGGTGTTTACGCTAGAAAACAAGACGCTCCCCCGGGATTGATAAAGATCGGGAACCAATCCGGCGAGTATATTGTATACGTGTCACCAGCTGCGTTCGCAACTACCAAACAAGCTTCACGTCACCGCACTCCACCGTGGCATTTATTTTACCGGCACACAACAATGTGAAACAAAACCAAACTTGTCACAGCGTTGTAGTTTATAGCTTTTTAATGGAGCTCGCGATCTCAAAATTTGGTACGGACCTCAGACTGTTCCTCGCTAAATCTAGCGGGGAGTTTGACATCACGTGACCTGACCTGTACACCAATTTAATCTGCCCGCTAAACTTGGCGGGAAAATGAACGTCATGTGACCTGTGCACCAAGGGAAAATGATAATTGCATAGGTTTTTCACTCCCCGAAACGAATGCTTATATCATCGAAACAAATTTGAACAATGGCTCCTTTAATACTGCCATTTCATGCACCGTTAAACTATAAAAATTTTAAAAAAAATTGTTACTTTTTTTTTTTTTTATTTCAGGACATTCATACGCGAGCCCTTTCGTAACGGTGGTTCGCGAACATTTCTTGGTACCCAACACAGCTGGGCCTTACCAAGTATCAAATGCTTTGCTCATTATCGAGTTCAACGAGGTTTCTCGTTAACGAGGTGGTGAAATTAATGTACACCACAACCTAACGTTTGCTGTCCGCAATTTAAGTTCTGCTTGCGACGACTGGATTATAATAATTACTCGCCGTACCAATTAGTTCCCTTCAATTAAAACTTATGTGAGCTGCTAGTTTGTATGAAATATTGCCCATGCAACGGTTTACTGTCAAGAGCATACGTATCGCCTATAAAAACTGATCCGCCACTGTCGGGAAAAGAACGACAGAGGAAAGCTTACAGTTACCCGCTTACACAGTTACCATTCCACCTTTCAAAGTTCAATTCCGGAGCATCGTGAAATGGCGGTATTTCGAAACAAAGATCAAGCAGAACGTTAAGATATACTGTAAAAATGAACTGCTGCAATCATAAAAACGTTAATACAAAAGAGTTTAAAAAAAGCTATGAGAAAAACCAAAATTACGCAGTTATAACACTATACTTTGATGTGTTTAATAGTGCACTAGAAAACGTGAGTCAACATTACAAAAAGACAAGGAATCCTAATATGTAGAGAAGCAGAAGACAGAATTTAGAAATTTTAACGGTTGCTCTGCAGCCTGCTACGGCCCCATTAAATGCTACCAAACGTTTCACAACAATAGCTTAAAAATAAAACAGAATTACGTTATTTGTTGTGAGTTTTCAGAAAACTAACCCTAGGTACGAACATCTTCAAGCGATATTTAGAAATACGCTAAGCGGAAGAAACGTAGCCAGCAGTCACAACCCTCCGGAACTCAAGACATGCTGTCCAGTTCGTGAGCTCGATCTTGGGATACATCGACACAAATCGCAACACTAGAGATCGCTACACTAGAGCTCGCATGCTTCACCACGCAGATTCTCGACACGTTTTCCGGGAAAAAAAAGTAGAGAAGGGACGGTAGGGCTGTAATAACAATAATTTGGAAAAAGACCGGCTCGGCACGTGATACCAGGAAGACGAGGAAGTAGCAAACACCGCAGCATCTGAACCACGGCCATCACATCCTCCACCATAAATTCAGCACTAAACCTGATACAGTTTGTGCATTTACCGTGCGAGAATCAACCATAAAAGCTAAGAGGGGCTCGAATATTTGGGGCCACTTATATATTGTAACTTAAGAAATTCCAAGAGAAAAATGGCATGTGCGAGAGCTCACATAGGCGACGCAACCCTTTGATATGTATACCCAAGTTTGCCCGGCGGATGATATCAGTAGACTGGGAAAATCACATAATCATGGGGCTGGGACAAGTCTCGATGTTTGTATATTTATACCCGCTCCCAAGCACATCAGAAAGACGACACAAGCTCGGATAGCGATACCAATAAATCGAGCTGTAATGGCTAGCTGCAACCTTGACCCAACTTCAAAGAATTGTGCGGTGGCATCGTAATTGCGCGTTCCATCGTTCTTGGGCACACGGGAACCTGTTTAGAATTCTGAAATTATCTTTGGGATCGTAATTTGTATGGGAAGCTATAGAGAGGCATAAAATCCAACACGGCAAGTCACGTGTAAAAAAAAAAAAATCGATCTCAAATATTTCGCTAACTCCTTTAGTCTCGTAGTCTCGGGTTTTCAAAACAAGGTGTTTATCAGCCGGGTTCCCGAATATATACCAACACATGTGCCCTCTGAACAAGAATTATGTCGGAAAAGAGCTCTGCAGCTGAGGTCACACTGCTTACACATCATATAAAAGACGGTGTGCATACAGATTCGAATGCGAGTCACCGCGAGATCCGTGCTTCGAATGCCGCATAGCAACGCGTTCAGAGGAGAAACTTGGCACGCGGCATTCGAACCACGGATATTGCGGTAACTCGTGTTTGCAGACTGTTTTTTTTTTTTTTGTATCATGTACGAGTAGTGTGACCCCGTCTCAACATGTTCATCAGCTTGTCATATTTGGCACCCTTAAAAGTTATTTTAATGACCCCCTAAAACGGTTGGAGACTTTTTGAGTGTGTGTTTTTACCGGCAGCCTTGGGTTTTTTTTTTAATCATGAAAGACTTCACTGACGTTCTGATCCTCCTAGTGTTTGTACGCACTTCAATGAAGGCACAATACACGCAAACAAAAGAAGCCGCGTACAAGTCGGTACGCGTTTGTGCGTGCGTGTTCTGGTGCCTTTGTTTTTGGTCCTTGTGTTTTGTACGTTCGTTCTCACATACGGTGTACGCCAACGCAGTATAGTTCATCTTCAAGTGGTAACTATAATTATTCGAAGGGCCCGATGCCGTTCGAGACACAGGTTTAAAAGGCATGTTGCGACGTGGCAGTGCGAGCGCTCACTAAAGACGGAAAAATTACTTGACGAAAGAAGTGAAAATAAAGAACTTTGCCGCGATCATTGTTCCTCGGGCGAAACCATCGCCCGGGAACCCTCCAATATGGAGGAAATTTACTAATTGATCATGTGTACACTACATGGCGGTTTTTTGCATACGGTCTATAGCTGACAAACGGCTGTAGACTCATATCGGCCTAAAACCTTCAACCGCGAAAGAAAAAAAAGAAAAAAAAGCAAGGCCGGCCGACGTACAAGAACAAGGAAAACTTGGAACGAACGTGCAATTGAAAGCTGCAGTACGGGGAATACATACAAATAGGCTGTCGGCCGCTCGGCAGGAGTATTCCAAGCGGATGGGCAAAATGCAAACTACCGGATACCACGCCACAGGCAGTCACCAAAGACTGCCTTTTAACTGTCAGAACAATGCGGTCCTGATATCCGAAAACGTCAGACTCCTTTTGTGTAAACGCCACGATGACTCAAAGCGAACAAAACCGACTGATTCAGCAGACACCTGGTTTAGGTTGTTGTGACGCCGTCACAGAAAGCAAAACGCCGTCACAGAAATCAGGAGTGTCGCTGCAACATTCCGAGAAGTGCGACGTCCCCGACAAATACGGTTCGAGCGAAAACAGCGGACTACGCCTTGTTTTCCGAGCAGACGACGACAGCGAGCAGACAGCGGGCGCTCCCTCAACACCACGAGGAAACAAATACTCAAAATTCATCTCTTTTGTTTTCTCTTTTTTGAGGGGGGATTGTATGTAGACGGAGTAATAATGATAGATGAGGAATGTTAGTCCGGCGAAGTCGCAGGGGAGTTCGAGCTCTTGAGAGAGACTTCACGTGCCCCTTCGCTCGTGCGCTAGCTTCGGCAGTGCTTTCTTTTACAGTCTCGGTCGAGACTGTAAAAGAAAGCTTTTAGCAAGTTGGCCCTAGTTTCCGACTCCATGTGCTCCAAACTGCCAACAAGTCAGTTGCATTGCGAGCTGCGTCAGAGACAAGAGCGTGGGGAAAGGGTGCATGGTCTTCCCATAGATCCTTTTCAAAAGTCCGCCTCAAAGCCCACCCGCCATTGCTTGATCACATACTCTGAGCATGTATTGGACACGAGGACTGACGTCAGCGTTCGGCGATCACTCGGAACCAATCACATACGCTTCGTTCCAAGCAATGACGACCGATGCATGTTGCTCGACGGACTTCTTAGAAAAGGGTGTATTGAGTTGCGGTTTTTGCTAGCCATCCGAGCGCGCCGACGGCATTGTGAAACGCGTCATGATTATAACCTTAGAGGGTGCGAAACGAACAAAAAGAACCGACCCCGCAAGCGACGCATGAACATGACGCCATTTTCTGCTCAAGCGATGCGTGAGATCTGCCTCGGGTTGAAATAGCACCTAAACATGCAACTTCAGACTTTCAGACGAATTACTACGTAACGCCTTTTAGAACAGGTCGAAAAATATTCGCTTGCATACTCGGTGAAAGGTTACACGAGGAACAAGGATGCAATTGTAATACATTTTGGCAGCCTCCGTATTCATACGGTCACACAGCGGAGATGAGGCTGCCGAACTAACATACCAAAGTACCAGTACCAAAGATTTTTGTTTGTGTGTATGTGTGCGCGTGTTGTGATTTAGTTAATGGCTAGGGACCACGAAACGGTGCCACAACTTTTAAAGCATGTCGTACCTTGCCTACATCTAATAAAAAAGAGAAAAAAGGAGGAAAAAAAAAGGGGGGGGGGATAAATTGGGGCCAGCCAAGCAGTACATTTTTCTCAGTCGACGAAGAAAAAACAGAAGAGTAAACAATCCCTCACAAAAGAAAATGCGTAAGAGAGGTCGTTATATCTTATTACATTGCATTACCTAAAAGAGGAATTACCCCCTTTTGAAGGTTAGCGTACACTTTCCTCAAACGGTGACCTTAGATTAAAGAATCTTTCTTTATTTTTTTTTTGTTGTTGTTGCCTTCTTCGTTGGGTAGCCTCATTATTCCTCGCACACGAAAGAACAGAGTGACCCTCCATCTAACCGATTGACCTCGACCTCGCAGTGAGAAGGCGCAGGACATCTCTTCCCTATGTCCGGCCTACAGTACACGCTCGCTGCCTTCCACCATGTTTCGGCTCCGTGTGCACCCGCGAGGCTCACGAGACGCCGAAGCACCGTCGAAGGCAGGAAGCTGCTAGCGCTGGAGGTGCGACAAATGAAACTTCTCTTCCGCTCTCATTCCTGCCATGGCTTGCACTTGACGTCAGTCCGCCCTTCTTTCTGGTGGCAAGATGCGAACGCGCCCCTTTCCCCCAATATGTCTGACCAAGCGACGCCAGTGCAAGCAATGTATATAACGCATGTGCACGTGCTATTGACGCGAGGTGCAATCTGCTTGGGGGGCTTTTGGGGCAACGGCAAATCAACAAAGATTACGGGCCGGTTTGCGCGATTGTTACGCAATCAGTTGGTGGTGGTGGTCTTCGGAACAAAGATATCAGTCGGTGTTCTAAGATATCACCAAGAAAGGAAAACAATGTCAAGGCTGGGGCGTTTACCTTGGCAACGCTTTTTCTTAGAGAAAAAAGTTAAATATTTCGGACAAGTCGACTTTAATAAAAAAAAAAGATAAAACATACCAATCGATTAAATCCTTATGGTACATTCCGAACCCGTTAAAACACAGCTTGTTTCCTATGACAGACTCCATTCCAAATTGTTTACAAGATTTTATGAAATAAGCATCAGGGATTAACTAAGACGCCTTGTGCAACGTAAAATACACAGTCTTGATTAATGGCGGGGATATGCGTGATTCGCACAGTTTCGCGATTGGTAATTGGACTCGCGAACATTTTGTAACAAACCCCCCTGCGCAAAGTAGTGTATGCACAGGCTGCACATCAAGAAGGGGTACCACATTAGAATATCGCCTTGGAATACTGGCGTTTCTGATTACTCGTAGAATAGGTATCAAGGCCCGTCCACAGTTTCACACACCTGCGTTCGACTACGACCAAAAAAATGGATAAGAAAGTACGAAAACAAGGTGGGAAGTTCTAGTGGATCAGTTCGATAATTCCAATAGAGAGCTTTAGGGAACATTTTTTGCACATCACATACTGTACGATAGGGCCGTCCAATACGAACTGCGCATGGGAGAGTCTTCTGCGTTATGGCGCATGCGCAGTTCGTACCGGAGAGCCCATCGTACCACATCGCATGTGCGATAACGGTTCCCTAAAACTCCCTAATTACGATACGATCCGATACGATAGGCGAGTAAAGCCGGCGTCTTTACGCATGCATTGTATGGTTGTCGCGTATTGGTATCGAAGGTGTCGGAACGATCGATTAGAATTCTCCACTGTCCGATGTGAACGAGAAATTTCTTTCCCAGATTTCGATAGCTGCTGGAACTCGCACTACATCCAAACAACCATATCTTTTATACACTTAAAATTTGTGAAGAACGACTGGAAACTGCTGAACACGACATGTCATACCCTGTGGTCAAACTTCCCGCGCACGCTTAGCCACGTCTGCGAGAGCGAGAGAGAGAGAGAAAGAATAATAAAGTATCCGTTTTCCCACTCCCAGATTATGTTTCATCGTCTCTTTAAATGTACTACATATCTTAAACTCTCCGCCAATGACCATACAAAAAAGAAAATAGGCCGTGCGTGAAGAAATTCCGACCTCACACACACACACAGGCAATCTCCGACAAGAAACTATACAACGTTGAAAAGAAGGCGCTCGCAAAGTGATGGGGTCTACACGTGTTGCTCGTTGCACGGCCGGGAGGAAGACTCGTCCGAGAGAAGAAAACCAAGAAAAGAAGATGAGCTCCGCGAAACATGGCCGGGCATCCGTCTCGCACCTGCCCATTACGTCATAATTACGCGCGCAGGATGCAAGCAAGCAAAGTGTGGCGCCCAACCCTTTCGTGCCCAAGCGCAGCACGACGCCGCTCTCCGTAACTTGGCAAACGACCAAGGCTACGGTTCCAGCGAGCCAATCAGCGCGCCGGAGTGGGGGAGAAGAGCGACGTCTGGGATAAGTTGGACACGGCCCCCGAGTTCCTTTTTCCCCCCACTTCTCAAACTGCTTGGTCTAGGCTCTCGCCTCTCTGTACCTTTGGTTAAGGGGTGTCACGTGCCTCGTCTCCCTCGCTCCGAAAAGACCGCAGCGTCTGCTCTTTGCCAAGTTATGCTGAAACGAGGTGTTCACCGTTCAACCCCTAGCTGACAGTGCGGCGGGAGTTAAGCGCTACAGGGACCAATCAATTCCACATCCCAATCGTCACCAGACCCCGCCCTCCGAGTGGTGGTGCGGGTGTGATCACGTGGAGAAAGACAGACGCGTGACTAGCCCAAAGATTACGTAGCTTTTACCCCACTGTCAGCTTAAGGGGTGAACGGGGAGCGGTAGTGGGCAGGTAGTAGGTACTATCCGCCTTCGGGGAAAAGAAAAACCCGAACCGCACTCGGTCGCTGTGTTATGCACGGCATGACCGCCGGGCACGCTTGGCCGTCACACGCGCAACCAGTCGCCCCAGCCAGCAAGGTCACTGACTGTACCCGCCTGGAAGCTGGACGTCACGCAAGGCCACGCACACAGCCTCACTAGCTCGTTTTCACCAGACGTCTGCGGGTTTTTCTTATGTGGGTGTTTGATTGTTTATTATGCGGTGCTCCACGCTGTTAATAGCTGGAGTGTTTAGTCTGGAGCATCCGGACTTCTGTGCATTCTTAAGATTCACGCTGACTCACGCCGCGGAGGATGTTACTGTATTTCCAAGGACGGGACGGGCGGCCGTTCGCTGGGAAAATACCTGGCGCAATGAAGCAAAGTTGCCGTTATTAGAATATTGGTTTGTGCAAAAAAGGCTTGTATTGGCACCTGCCAGACACCAGTTAATCCGTCGCCGCTATTAGAAGGTATGTTTCGTATAAAGAAACACAATGGCGGCACCTCAAACTTTAGTTTCTGAAACGCCGCTATTAGAATATTTGTTTTGTATAAGCGAGCCTAATAGCGCCACCTGTTAAAATCCAGTGTCACGGACGTCGCTATTCGAAGATTTGCTTGTTATGTAAAAGCCACGCTTATAACGGCACTTGTGAAACTGCTGCTTCCACGTGCCGCTTTGAGATTTCATTGTTTGTATAAACAAGCGAACAAATCTGAAGACAAATTTCGTCTATAAAACGCCTAACCGGCTGTTTCACTTTTTTTATTGTTATCTTTCCATTGACAGGGTTTCAGTACGTTCTGGACGAATGTTAACCCAGTTTTTCAACAACAGAAGGCAAGTTTTAGCTGTTTTTGTTTCACTTAAGCAATTTCTGTGACGCATTG